CATTTATATATTGTGATATGATGAGAAGATGTACCTGTGTGATGAAAGTTGTATGTTGTACTATGAGTTGAAAGTTGTGTGTTGTACTATGAGTTGAAAGTTGTGTGTTGTTTAAGTTGAAAGTTGATTAAGATGATGAGTTGAAAGTTGTGTGTTGTTTAAGTTGTTAAGCTGAGCTGTGCTGTTGAGTTGCAAGCTGAATCAGTTGTGATGATAAGTTGTTGATCATTAGGACTAGAGGAGATGTTTTCGAAGTTGTTCGTCCCATTGTGCAGATTGAGATAGTTGTGGTGCTCTGAGAGCCTAATTTGTTGAAACCCCCCTTGAGAAGTTGTGTTTTCGAAGTTGCTCATCCCATTGTGCAGATTGAGATAGTTGTGGTGCTCTGAGAGCCCAATTTGTTAAAAAAACCCCTTGAGAAGTTGTCTCTTGGAGTGGACGTTGTGTTGTTCTCCTCTAGGACTTAGTTGGTCCCGTGTGTGGGCAAGGTGGAGGCACACATGTACAAAGCGACCACGATATAGGGGCCAGGTCGAGCTATACTGATTACAAGTGACCAAATTTGATCACTATGATTAGAGGATATATTTTTGAAGTTGCTCATCCCATTGTGTGGATTGAGATAGTTGTGGTGCTCTGACAGCCCAATTTGTTGAAAACTCTCCTTGGGAAGTTGTCCCTTGGAGTGGATGTTGTGTTGTTCTCCTCTAGGACTTAGTTGGTCCTGTGTGTGGGCAAGGTCGAGGCACACGTGTACAAAGCGACCACGGTATAGGAGTCAGGTTGAGCTATACCGATTACAAGCAGCCAATTTGAGAAAAATACGAAGTTGGGAACTTAGTTCCTAACCGAGTATTGGAGGGTTGTAGCATTTGGAGGATAGTCGGTAGGCTAATCCTATTGATGGCTTAATTGAGCTAGCTAATGTCGTGGTAGGCCTAAACCCATCTGTTCTATCCTAATATATTACTATACTGCCTGGTTTAAGTGGCAAAGTCTAAAAAACCGTTATCGTGTTATAGATTTTTATCCAAATTTGTTGTTTACCTAGCAAGCCCAAAAAGGTTATGTGTTGTCGGTTCGGTAAGATCTAGCCACTTAAGCTTCTCACCCTGTGTTGTAGGAGATCTCCAAGTTGAAATGCGTGACGACACATAAGTTGTTGATGAGTTGATATTGTGATGATATAAGTTGAATGTGTTAATGAGTTGATATTGTAATGATATAAGTTGAATGTGTTGATGAGTTGATACTATGATGATATAAGTTGTATGTGTTGATGAGTTGATATTGGGATGATATGAGTTGTATGTGTTGACGTGTTGTGAATGTGCTGTTGAGATGTAGGTTGTCTATGTGTTGTGTGTTGAACTATTTGATGATGATAGTGATGTTAAGTTGCTAGTGTTGAGTTATTTTCATATATATATATATATATATATATATATATATATATATATGTTGTTTAGATGTTGTGCGTTGTATGTTGAGCAAGTAAGATAATGATGATAGTGTTGTTATGATGTAAGTTACTTCTAAACATGTGTTGTTGAGAGATGTGTAATACATGTGTTGGTTATTGTTATGATGAATATGGTAACTATTCCAATAGTTTGTACAGTAGTTGCGTTGAAGTGTTGATACAGTGGTGATATGTTGAATCAAGTTGAAATGATATTAAGATGTATAGTATATGTGTTGTTATCTTCTATGTTGGATGTGAAGATGATTATATAGTCGTTGTGTTGCATATTTAATTATTATGAGTTGCTTATTGTCTCTAGCTTACCCTTGCATGTTACCATGTTGTTTGGACTGCGATGATCATATGTTGTATGGGAGCAGGGCAAGGATAGGCTAGGAGATAGCTGCTAGGGGTCATAGGAGGTGTCTAGAGTTGAATATTTTTTTTTGTAGGCTACCTTATAGTAGCCTATTTTGTTGTATATAGTTGGTTGCTATTGGTTGCTTAATTAGCAACTTGGGTTGTAATTATTTTATTATATTATTTTAGTATATATATATATATATTCCAATAGTGTGTAGTGTTGTTCCGTAGTGTGATGGTCGTGGCGGGTCGTTACAACTCTTGTCCATTTATAGAGTAGGAAAATATTCATATATGTTATCCGCAAATATCTATTTAGACTATTTATTTATTATTTGTTGTGAATTTTATCTGCAAGTACTAGTAGGTATGAGTTTTTTTGTCAACCTATCAACGATCAACTAATAACTTCATATGATTAACTAATTAATAAAGTGATAAAATATGCAAAATTTTAAAAATTGTATAACAAAATATACAATTTTAAAGAGAAAAAATAAGTATAGTTCCTTAAATGCATTTGATGTTGTTCTCAATCACCATTAAAGTTTTACCTCATTAATATATATTTGCATTTAATGTAAATCTCATTATTATATATTTACACATACTATCGAGATAAAATTCCAATTGTGATTAGGGATGGCAATGGGCCCCATTGAGGCGGGTAATAGTAAATTTCTCCCCGTCCCGCTAGATGAAAATTGTCCTCATACCCACCCCATATCTGCGCGGGTATCCATGAATTTCTTGAATACCCACAGATATCCATAGATATTTATAAATTTTTAAAGAAATTAAAAATTATATTATAAATAATTTTAAGTCTATATTTAATGTCATTGAAATATTAAAAATAAAAATTTAATGTTAATTTTGAACTTGTATTTAACGTTAATTTTGTTGAAATAATAAAAAAAATGTTAGATAATCAATGACTTAATATACATCAATCTCACAAGTAAGTTAAAGTTCCAAAGTTATAATAATTCAATTTCATAATTCTAAACGAAAGTAAACAACTTAAAATACATAAATTTTATTGGTCCAATCAGAACTAGAAAATTAATCAAATTATATCCAACATAATTTTATAACATGTTTAATACATGTTGGTAATTTCATCAACCTCACTTTTGTAAGAAAATAAGATGAGAAAGTGTAGTTTTAGGGTTATGTAGTACAAGAATAATTAGGATATTTAAGAAATATTATTAAACGGGTGCCCGAAGGTATGAATATCATCACACCCGCCCCCGCCTCATTTATAAACGGGTAAAAAATTATCCGTCTCCATTATCCGCGGGTACCCAATTAGCCTATCCATTTATTATCCGTAGTGAATTTTACCCGCAGATACCCGCAGGTGCGAATATTTTTGCCACCCCTAATTGTGATTAAAAAGTGATACCAACTATTCTTAAAAAATTAACTATTTTTAAAAAATTGGACATAAGTTTTATCTTTTTAGAAATTAAATGAAAAAATTCATAAAATTATGTAAATGTTTTTTTTTAAGTTAAAAAAATAACCGTATGATATTCGATAAGGTGCAATAAGTTGTAATGGTTTGGTTAGTTTCTGGTCAATGTTCTTGGGTTAAGATCCAAGTCAAAAACTTTTTTAGATTGGTCCAAGTTCTCGGGCGTAAGAAGTAAACAACCAGCCAAATCAACCCATAACTACCCATTATCTTAATCACGCACTGAATGCATGTTATTCAATCCGAAATTCCCTTGACCAAAAAATTATAGAATGATTTTCCTAAATTTCATACATCTAAATGTTTAGTATCCAATCTTATTACATAAATAATTAGGTGAATCGATGTATCTCCAGTTAGATGTTATCAATGATTATTTATTTGATATCCTATAAAATTTAGTTTAAAACATATTTTTTATTTCGATAATTTTATTTATTTTATATTTTAGTATTTATAATTTAGGAAAGATATTTTTAATCTTTATATTTATATATTTTTAATTATTTTTAGTTTCTATAATTTAAGATAGATATTTGCTGTTTCTCAATTTTTTAATATTTGTCGTTAGTTTTTTTTTAATGCTTTTTGTGTTGAAGTAAGTTATTAATTAACTTATTAGAGTTATTTTAAATTAAGTTTGCTAATGTTTTATGTTTCTTTTATATTTTTACTTGTGATGTTTAGAGTAAAAAAAATTTACATGTAAAAAAATACCATTACAAAAAAAATAAAAAAATATAGACTTAATTTTTTTTTTTTAAAATTACAAGCATAAATTTTTTAAAAAGTTATCTTAAACTATAAAGACTATTTTTTTTTAAATATAAGTATAAGAAATAAAAAAAATATTTTTTAAATTATAAAGACTAAAAATTAAATTAAGTAAAATTATAGTAATTAAAAATTTATTTCAAAATTTTAGATATATTTGGATGAAAAATTTTAGAAATCATAAGAATTTAAAATTTTTAAAATTTGAATTATTTTGATTTTAATTTCCATTATTCTTTAAATATTTTATTTGAATAAGTTAATTAAAATTTTTAAAAAATTTTAAATTTAATTCTAATAGGACAAATTAATTTTCACTATGGATAAAATCAATTTTAAACAAATATATAGTGAAATTTTAAGATTTAATTTTATAAAACTAAATATTAATCTATTTTTAATATTTAATAAATTTTTTTAAAAATAATATTTAAAAAATTTAAAATAATTTTGAATATTTAATAATTTAAAAATACTGATATTTTTTTATATCGATTTTGATAGAGAGAAAAAATACTAATAATTATGTCGGATCATCAAATCAACTCCAAACTCAAGCGTGTTTTGTGTAACTAACAATACTACCAAGTGGTCCATAATTTACAATATTCCTCTAATCATTTTTCTTACGTATATCGCCTTATATAAAAACAATATGAACCTTTAAAGTATAATTTTGATATTTGTGTTAATGCTTAGCCTCTAATAAATAATGAATTGAACGTTGGTATGTCTCTATACTAATAAATAATCATTGTAAATAATCCTAAAATCCAAAATTATGTGATGGAATAGAATAAAGGGTATTTTAATTGGAAAGTAATGCATATTTGATTAATAAAAATAAAAAATAAAAAATAAAAAATGGATGGTGCAAAGTTTGTTTGTCTGTATGTGCAGAAAGAAATGGAGGGTGGGGCAGTGATGCAATTGCAACGCACCCATGAGAAAGGAAGACTAGACTAGAATAGAATCGAATCTCCTCTTCCTCTGTCCCTCTCATTCCAAATCTCTTTTTTCTTAACTTCTCTTTCGACTCTTCCTTTTGCATCTCCCCACCCTCACGAAAAGCACAATTCTTTTTCTCCATTGCCATCTTTCTTCCTAGGGTTTCACTTTTTATTCCTTTGCTTTTCTCTTCCACAATTCCACAAAACCCCTTTTCCCCACGCCAATTCCCTCTTCAAAATCCTAGGGTTTCTGAACCATTCTCTAAATCTCTTTCCCGCAATGTGGATAACTTCCAGATGCATTTGACACTCTAGTTCCTTGCCTCAATCGTACTCTTTGAGCTGCTTCAGGGACTGCTTTCACTTTCACGTGTTGTTTCCAAGGGCACAGCCTCTCTTTCAAGCATGGGTTGTGTCCATGGCAAGTGTTGCTGTGGCCACCGTTCTTCATCAGATGATGATTCCAGGGATTACCGAGAACATGGTTTCATTCATGGCCACAGGAAGAACGTAATTGCCCAGAGGTCATTGAAGCGTGTTCCTGTTCCTTCCCACAACTTCATTCTCGAATATACCTATCTCACTCAGCGGGGGTACTACCCTGACTCGCCTGATAAAGAAAACCAAGATAGTTTCTGCATTAGTACACAGCTCCAAGGTAACCCCAGTGTCCATTTCTTTGGTGTCTATGATGGGCATGGCCAATTCGGTAGCCAGTGTTCAAACTTTGTTAAGGATAGGTTGGCAGATAAGTTATCAAATGACCCTGCATTGTTGGACGACCCTGTTCAAGCTTACAATTCTGCATTCTTGGCAACGAATCAAGAATTGCGCACAAGTGAGATTGATGATTCTATGAGTGGCACCACCGCGATTACGGTGCTTGTTGTTGGTGACACCCTTTATGTCGCTAATGTTGGTGATTCGAGAGCTGTGCTGGCTGTTAAGGATGGGAATCGCATTGTTGCTGAGGACTTGTCCTCTGATCAGACACCGTTTAGGAGGGATGAATACGAGAGAGTGAAACTTTGTGGGGCGAGGGTGTTGAGTGTTGATCAAGTGGAAGGGCTCAAGGATCCGGATGTTCAGCATTGGGGTGATGAAGAGAGTCGGGGTGGCGATCCTCCAAGATTGTGGGTTCCTAATGGGATGTATCCTGGAACTGCATTTACAAGGAGTATAGGGGATAGTTTGGCGGAGACTATTGGTGTCGTTGCTATTCCTGAGGTGAAAACTGTTCAGCTTACACCTAATCATCTTTTCTTTGTGGTTGCAAGTGATGGCATATTTGAATTCCTGACAAGCAAAACTGTTGTTGATATGGTATGACTTGCAACTTGTTCCCTTTCTTTAGTTCTTTTTTATTTTATTTTTTTGCTCTTTTAATGCGTGTTGATGTTTTCGCAGGTTGAGCAAATTCATTGAATGATTTAGTTTAAATTACTATAATAATTGTTAAATCTATCATCCACTTCTGTTAATGGAAATAATAATGTTATCTGTTAAAAGTATAAATGTTGCAATTTGACTTGAAAATCTGGACAAAATACATGTTATTTTGCATTTAAGTTGTTTGTGGCTTATGGTACATAGGTAGTGCAAAAAAATCTTTTAATGTCTTCCTAATGAAGTTCTATTTTAACATTATATTTTAAAGGTTCATTTCACACATTTTCTGCAAATATAATTGAAATAGAAAGTTTAAGAAAAATTACTGGCCATAGGGCCATAAGTTGCTGATCATATGGGAGTGGTATATATATGTATTGCTTAAGCTTCTGTGCTTGACATATTTTAGTTAGGTCTATTCACTTATCGTATGCATTAACTGCCATAATTATGTGAACCTTATATGGTTCATGGTATATAAATGGTAATTGAGAATAGTAGTTTTGCATCCCATGTATTTTCACAAGCCTTGTAATATTTAGTCGTTCAGTAGAGGAAATACAAATTTTGCACTGCTTGCTGCTGATCATCCCTAATCTGTTGCAGCACAGTAGACTAAGATTCCCCTGTTGTTATACCATAGATAAAATTGTAACTTTGGTAGGATTCCCCTTTTTGAAAAATTTGTGATCTATTTATGATGTAGGCTGCAAGCTATACAAATCCTCAAGATGCATGTACAGCTATTGCAGAAGAATCGTATAAACTATGGTTGGAACTTGAGAACAGAACAGATGATATAACAATTATCATTGTTCATATCAAAGGTCTCTCTAATGTATGGATTTCTTATACTCTTTTAGTTTCACTTTCATCTGCTTTTTATTCAATTTTGTTTAAAGATTTTTAATTTGTAATATTATATGATCATGTTAACCCATGAAATTAACTAACAACAAACTCTCAATACATATAGTGGGGTCAGTTTTACATTGACTAATTGACACAATTTGACTTTATGAAAAAGAAAAATTGTTGTAAAATCACTATCGATCTTCTTAGAGGAGTAACATGTAAAATCAAAATTTTGCTACTGATGATTCAATAATTAGATTTATCTTCATTGAGTGACTTATCTAATCGATAGTCCAATATTGTAGTCAGGTACATCTGGAGTTGGATCAAATGAGATCAATGTTGGTACTGTAATGAATTCCAGGACAGGAACTTTGGAAGTATCTGCTACCCCTGGATCAGATGTTTATCGTTCTGTCAGGACCGGTTACTCTGATTTGCAGTCCTGTCAGCACGTGGCTTCAATGACGAACCCAGCCATAGAGGCGCACTCTACAGCATGTCCAAGACCAATTGAATGAGTATGATCTCAATCTCAAGAACATTGTTGATTATTTCATATTAATTATTTGATCAGGATCTATATAATGCATAGTCCCCTTTTTGCTTTATAGTGATTGAAGAGAGAGGCTTAACTAAAGCTTCAACAAGTCTCTTTGCTGTTTCTCCAAAGTGGTACATTTCCATGTTCCAACTTCCTGAGCATTTTGCGTTACTGTTGTACATATACTGGTCACCACATTTTATGCTGCTCGAGGCTGCCAACTTGTCAGTTTGAGGTGCATTATCTTGGCAGCAAAAGGAATTTGGTCAGGATGTAAAAACCACAGTTCGTACTTGGTAAAATTCAAATTTCACGTTGTTTAATCATACAGAAACACCTCAGTGGAGAACACCTCTTCTCACCTTCCTGTGACGCCATTGCACCTCCACCCTGCAGATTTATTTGATCTTTGGAAGGGAAATCAATAACAAACTTGAAATAAAAAGAAGGTATGCAAGGAGATTGCTTGTGAGTTGTGACTATCATTTTGCATTGAATCGTGGTGCAAGAAACTCATAAGTTGGTCACTGGTAAATTTGGGAGGCAGATGCTACTTAGCATTTAGATGCTGTCCTCATGATCCTGTAGATGCTGGATCCAACTTATGTATCACGAACATGTCGCATTGTTGGTTGATAGCATTTCAAGATTAATTTCATATTTACAAAAACAGAGAAGATTAATTATGTATCCTTACATTAAATTTGTGACTGAATCAAGGGTGTAGACAATAGCTGATAAGACTTGTAGTTTCATCTGTTGGTAGTTTGTTAAATGTGAGAAAAAAAAATGAAATAATTGTTCAGCATATTTCTTCTAGGAAATTAAACATGGAAATGTCAGCTGAACTCATGGCTGTGTTTCATTTTTTATTTTTACAATCAAATTGTTTTGATTTTAAATTCAACTCATTTCATTCTAAAGAAAAATGAATTGGATTGGTTTTTTAGTTATTATTTTATTCTAGATATTAGTAAATAAACTTTATAATACACCATGAAAATAAAAATGTAATGCATAGTATTTTATAACTAGTTTTTTAAGTAATAAGCTAATTTGTTTTTGTTATAATTTATTTTGTGACTTTATTAAAGATATCCTAACATGTTTTTATCTTATTTGTTATTAAAACTTGCCTTCTAATATAAAACAGAAATGATATGAATATGATGAAAGGGAAGAGATTATTTTTTTTCAAACTTGGACATACTAAACTTACAAACAGTATTGATATTTTTATCTTGTTTGTTATTAAAACTTGTCTTTATATATATATAGATAGATAGATAAACTTGCCTTCTAATATAAAACAGAAGTGATATGATAAAAAGAGAAGAGAAAATGTTTTTCAAACATGGATTTGATAAACTTACCAACAATATTAAAATAATGTGTAAATTAGAATAAGGTTGAAGGTAAAACAGGTATAGTAATTTATGAAAACTTATTTATATCAGTATGGGTGATATAGTAAGTTAATAAATATTCACACTTATATATATATATATATATATATATATATATAAAAGAACATCTTCAATCCAATCAAGTATTTGTAATGTATTTTACCAATAAGCAACAATATAAGTATATGTGATATAATAGTTTAATAAATATAAACATATGTATATAAGAGCATCTATAATATGGAGTGTTTGTGAACCTTATTAATAAATAATATTACTTATCAATAATTCCGTGTGATGACATGACACAAAAAATTATTTTAAATTAAACGACTCTTAAATAAATAATGTTACTTAAAACATAAATCACTCTCATAAATTAAAAAATATAATTTATTATGTTTAATTATATTAATATTTAATTATAATAATTATATTATTTTTTAAGTTGTCAAAAAGTGATGTGTAAATAAAAAGATTATAAAAGTGTGAATTGTTTATAAAATTTTATCATTAAAGCAAAATTTGTAAAATTATATTGTGAGTTACTTAAAAATGATGTGGTGTGATAATATAATTTAAAATAAAATAAAAATTTTAATAAATACTTATAGAAAATACCGTTAAAGATGCTCTAAAAGTTTGGTTAAATTAAATTGTGTTAGTTTTCAAAATTTGATTTAGTTTAATAAAAATAAATCTTTTTTTTTTTCATGTTATTTGATTTATTTTATGTAATTCACGTTAAATTGAATTGATAAAAACACCTTTTTCTTAGAGTTTTTCAGACTTTTAAATGTTATTTTGCTTGCCTTTTTTTTTTTCTTTGCTTTTTCTAATCTTTGTTTTAAAGGTTTTATTTACCTTTGAGTCTCAACGATTTTCTTGAGAGTGAATCATGAATGCATTCATTTATCAAAATATAAACTGATTTTTATACATTTATCTTTTAAAAAAATATTTTTTTTATATAAAGGGACTCAAGATAATTCTTTTCATGATGTCTGTAATAGTTAACGTTAAAAGAGTTAATTATTAATTATACACATGGACATAATTTCTGATACCATAAAAGATTAAATTAAACTATTAAAAATTTATAGAATAAAATTTAACTTATTTAAAAATTTAATGACCAAATTCAACATAAACCCCACTGTGTGCTAACCCCACCCGTGTACTAACTCAAACAACCTATTCCAAACCAAAAACAACCAAGAACATCCCAATTCTCATTCTAGGAGAAAAATTAACTATTCATTTAAAATTTATTGTATTATATTGATCTTACAAAAAATCTTAATTATTTAAATAATTTAATTATCAATTATCCTTATTTATAACTAAATAAAATAACTTAATTGAATAGAACAAGATTAGCATAAAAAATAAATGCTCAACGAATTTCTCTCCTAAGCTTATTTATTTTTATTAGTAGGTCAAATTAAGCATTAAAATTCAAATGAAAAGATAATTTTATTAGGTTTAAATATATTTTTGTCTATGTAAAATAAGTAAGTGTTAATTTTAGTTGTATTTTTTGTATCTTATAAAATTTAGAATTATTAATTTTAGTTGTAATTTTTTTTTATCTTATAAAATTTAGGATTATTAATTTTAGTCCTTGTTATTATATAATCAATTTTAATTACTTATTTATTTATTAAAAAGTTAAATAATTATCTCAAATATTACTTAAAATTATTAATGATATTATATTAATATATGACATTTTTAAATTTTTTTTATAAGCTTTCAAAATAAATACTATTTATTTATCTTGAAATCATCGTTAGAGATCACAAATAATAATTTAGGTCTTAGAAGGATGAAAATAAAAAAAAAAAATTACATGGATCAAAATTAAAGTTTATTCATTGTAACCAAAAATATTTTACTAGACTCAGAAATAATGTTTACAAATTTTAAAAAGTCAAAAAAAAAAAACATATTTATACTTTATTTTAATTAATATAAAGATATTTGAGAGAGTTGATGTCAAAAAGAAAAAATATGCACAACACATCAACATTAATTAATATGAACTAGTATTCTAGCATATGTATTTGCATATGTTAAATTTTTATTATATATAAATAAATTTTTTTAATAAATTATGTATATAAATAGGTATTTCTAAGTATATAAATTATATTTAGATTTATAATAAATAATTTATATTGTAGAATATAATTGATAAAAATTAATTTATTTTAAAAATAATAAAAATTAATTGATAAAAATAATTATAAAAAATAAAAAATAAATTAAAGAAAAAGATTGATTTTGAGTGACGCATAAAGGTGAGATGGGTACATGAGAATTGGAAATACGTCCGGCCCAAAATTACCATTTAATTTATTATTATTTTATGTCTTTTTATTGGAGAGGAAGAGCGAAGAGCGAAGAGAGAAGAGAGAAGAGAGAAGAGCGATGTTCAATGCTTAAAGCCTCCATTCCAAGCTCTCATGCCTCAGCATCTGCACAAAAATAAACAAATAAATAAATAAACGAGAAAAAAGAAAAAAACAACAACAACGACAAATAAGCGTGAATTTTCTTTCTGATTCTCCAAATTTCTAAGATTGATCGTTACCTTTGATTGTTGGAAAAATTGCTCCAATCGGGTACGTATGGATAATCTAATACTGATTACAAGTCTCGTATTGGGGATCTTCTGCATATCACTGGCTCCGTTTGCTATTATCATATTTTAAAACGTTTTGTTTTCATCACTTTTGTGATCTGTTGGGTGTGTTTTGAGTATTGATATGTATTGCATTCATTTGGGTGTTTTCAATTTCATATTTTGTGAATCGGGTAGGCTCCTTTCGCTGAGATTACTGGATATATGTTTCTGGGTAGTTGATTAATTTATTCATTGTTTTTCCTCCTTTATTTAGACCATTTAGGAAGCTTAATATCGCATGTTGCAACACTGAAATTCATAGGTGATTAATCGTTAGTGTCAAATGTACGTTAATATGCAATGCCATATAAACCAGTGTTAGTCATTGCAAATTTTATTCATTTAGGTGAACCATGTTTGCACCATTTTCTGAATTTTCCTCATCAATGTTATTCTCGTATACATATTTTTCTCTTAATTCAGGGAACTTGATTTTGGAATAAGTAAATCATGAATGTTTGTAAACCGATGCTAGATAAAACTTAACAAGTGTGTTGTTCCTCTCTTTTTCTTCTTATTTTTGATTGTACCTAATATGATTTCATTGGTTGCCAGTTGTAGCAGTCAAATGTCTCCTTCAGTTTCTTGTCAAGAAAAAGGAAGTAGGAACAAGAGAAAATTCAGGGCTGATCCACCTCTAGCGGATCCAAATAACATCATTCCTGCACCTCAACTCGATTGCCTCAGTTATGAATTCTCTGCTGAGAAGTTTGAAATAACCCCAGATCATGGGCAAGTCGCTGCCTGTGACTTGTGTAATGTTAGCCAAGATCATTCTGATGGACTGAAGCTTGGTCTCGGATTATATAGTCCTGGAACATCTGAGGTCGGGCCTAGTAAATCTAAGGAAGAACCTGAGACAGATGAATCCAATGATGCTGATTGGAGCGATCTCACAGAAGCCCAACTGGAGGAACTTGTCCTGATTAATTTAGACACCATATTCAAGAGTGCAATAAAAAAAATTGTAGCATGTGGCTACACTGAAGAAATTACTACTAAAGCCATCTTAAGACCTGGCATCTGCTATGGATGTAAAGATACTGTGTCAAATATTGTTGACAATACTTTAGCATTTCTTAGAAATGGTCAAGAGATCGATACTTCACGAGAGCACTATTTTGAAGATTTAATGCAGCTTGAGAAGTATGTCTTGGCTGAATTGGTTTGTGTTCTTCGAGAGGTTAGGCCATTCTTCAGTGTTGGGGATGCAATGTGGTGTTTGTTAATTTGCGACATGAATGTGTCACATGCTTGTGCAATGGACTGTGACTCTTTAAGTGGTTTAGGTCGTGATAATACTTCTAATGGCTGTTCATCTAGCCAAACAGAATCACATTCAAAAGCAGAAACCAAAGTTCCAGACTTGAGTCTTCTAAGTCCTAGTAAATCAATTCCTGCAGGTTCTCGTAATTCTCAATCAAAGAAACCCGTTGTGGCTGGAATTCCTGGAGGAAATAACTTGAATTCTCAAATTATCTGTGGACCTTTAGAGAATGAGGGGGAAAGTTGTGGATCTGATTGCTTTGGTAAAGCATTCAACAACGCTGGAAAATCTCAATCTCCCCTGACGGAGGAAAAGTGTGGAAGTGTTAGAAAGGCGCATTCTGGTAGCACCAAGAGGGATTACTTTCTTCGACATAAATCATTTCACGTGGAAAAAAGTTATCGTACTTATGGATCTAAAGGGTCTTCAAGAGGAGGGAAGTTGAATAGCTTGAATGGTTTAATACTGGATAAAAAACTTAAATATGTGTCAGAATCTTCTACGGTCAACTTAAAGAATGCATCCTTACAGATAAGTAAGGCAATGGGTGTGGATATGACTCAAGACAATATTAATACTAATTTTTCATGCAATACTGGAACTTCTACCCCCACTGCATTCAGCCTGGATTCTTCTGATGTTGTTTCTATGTCAACCAATACTTCATATGCAGTTAATGGAGCAAATACTGTACCTGCATTCAGTAGTCCAGTTTTGTTCTCAGCTACTAATACCGATCTTTCTCTTTCGTTGTCTTCAAAAATCAAGCCTTCAACACAACCTGTCTGCTTCAATACTAATAGTAGTTATACGGGGATATCATATGATAAGTCCCCGAGGCAGTGGATACCTCAGGATGGAAAGGATGAGATGATTTTGAAGCTGGTTCCAAGGATTCGGGAGCTTCAAAATCAGCTTCAAGAATGGACAGAGTGGGCCAATCAGAAGGTTATGCAAGCTGCTCGTCGGCTAAGCAAGGACAAGGGTGAGCTTCAGACACTAAGGCAAGAGAGAGAGGAAGTGGAACGTCTTAGGAGAGAGAAACAATCTTTAGAGGAAAACACCTTGAAGAAGCTGTCTGAGATGGAAAATGCCTTGTGTAAAGTTAGTGGGCAGGTAGAGCGAGCTAATGCCACTGTCCGCAAACTTGAGGTGGAGAAGGCTGAATTGAGGAAAGAGATGGAGGCTGCCAAGCTACATGCTACAAAAACTGCTGCACGCTGTCAAGAGGTCTCAAGCAGAGAAAAGAAGACACAAATGAAGTTTCAGTCATGGGAAAAGCAAAAATCCTTATTTCAGGAAGAGTTAATGACTGAAAAACGAAAATTGTCACAGCTGCTGCTGGAATTAGAACAAGCTAGAATGCAACATGAGCAAGTTGAGGTATTCTATTTTAAGCTTATTACAAGTTCTTTATCATGTTTCTTTACATTTTAAGCTTATTCCACTTGATATCTATACCAATATAATATGGCTCATGTAGTAATTGGTCTCATTGTCTATAATTATAAAATAGGAATTATGATTAGTAAGTACTAAGTACTACCTCCATTCCCTTTTAATGGTTGTTTAAGGTTTTTATACGCATACCAATAAATGCAATACATTTGTTTGTTTTCCATAAAATAGTTTTGAAGTTTCTTATTATGTCTTTTACTCCACAATAAATGCATTAGTTGTAAATATGTAAATCAATTAAAAATTAGGCAGGAAGTGTATAATTAACAAAGAAGTAATTAATGTTGTCTTGAATTATTGAAAACTACGAATAAATATAAACAAAAGTCTCCTAAAAACCGACAATTAAAAAGAAATAGTGGTAATAGTTATTTAGTTATGTAAAGTTTCTAAGCTCTTCCACTCTCATTTTATTGCTACAAGTAAAACCTTTTAGCACTAATTGGGTCGATAACATTGATCAATGCCATTGTGTTCTGTCAAAAAATGATTCTTTAGAGAGAATTTTTGGATCTAAGTTCCTCTTAATTTCACTTTAGATTGATTCTGGTCAACCCTTTTTTGACTTGGATCATTTATTAGACTGCACTCCCATTTTATTCTCAGAATAAAAATAAATGGATTGGTATGCTCTTGACACCAGTATTTGTTGTCCATTTCTATGCATCTCTTGACTATGATCAAGTGATTCTAATGTAGAACAAATGGACAGTTCCTGTATGTTAAATGATATGGGTGGTTTCAAACCAATTCCCCCTTTTCTAGAGTGTTAGTTAATACCTATCAAGGTAATAATAATATTAGCTTGTCACCTTTTAAAAAATCGAGAAGAGAACTACCACCCCAAGGCATTATGATTCATTTGATGATTTATTTTAAACAGTCACAAAGACTTTATGATGACTCAAACTTTGTTTTGTTCCCTTACACTTTCTTTGTTATTTTATTTTTCTTTGAAGATTCTATCCATCTTGTAGTTGCAACTCCCCTCCCTAAACTTTGGACATCATAAGAACAAACATAAGATATAATTGTAGAGAATGGAAACATGATAAAACAGTTTGGTAGTTGGTACACAATACAAGTGCATCACGTGTGAGATTCCATAAATGCTTGTATCTACACATAGGTGCTAAATAAGATATGTTACTGGGTCTGTTCTCATTGTTTAAGGAAAATATCACAGGGTAGATGGCAGCATGAAGCAAAGACAAAAGAAGAACTCCTCCTACAGGCCAGTTCTATAAGAAAGGAAAGAGAACAGATTGAGGAATCAGGAAAATCGAAGGAGGACATGATCAAATTAAAAGCAGAAAGGAATCTGCAAAGGTATAGAGATGACATCCATAAACTTGAAAAGGAAATTGTCCAACTACGACTGAAGACGGACTCATCAAAAATAGCTGCATTGAGGATGGGCATTGATGGAAGCTATACCAGCAGATTCTTGGACATGAAAAATGGCAGGGCTCTGAAGGAACCCCAGACTTCTTTCATCTCAGAACTAGTCATTGGTCAGTCGGTGACAGGTGGTGTGAAACGGGATCGGGAATGCGTGATGTGTCTTTCGGAGGAGATGTCTGTTGTATTCCTCCCGTGTGCTCATCAGGTTGTTTGCACAACATGTAATGAGCTTCATGAGAAACAGGGTATGCAAGATTGTCCTTCTTGCAGGAGCCCCATCCAACGACGTATTGCTGTACGCTTTCCCCGTACTTGATTTATTTGATTGAGTTAAACATTTTGAATAATAATACTAATACTAATACTACTACTAATAATAATAATAATGTCTAAGGGACTCATGCAATGAATAATGCATTCATATCATGTACATTAATTTACTTCAATGGCAAGGTTGATGCTGTCATTCTGTTATGCTGTTTTGATGTATTTGTTGAAGGTGCACTTGTTTTCTTTGCTTGTTTGATAGTATATAATGGTCAGTTTCTCATGACAAGTTTTGTTTTCTCGCAAGAGGTTTAAACTGCTCAGCTCCATTTCGAAGTAAATAATGAGGGCTACGATCAGTTGAAGTATGTGAATAGAATGGAGAAGATATCAAGGCTTTTATTTTTTGTTTCTAGTATCTTACTTTGTCAGCGATCGGACACGTGAGGAAGTCGAATACGCAACTTTTTATCATCAAATCAATCTTTATAAACACGATACACATCCACGCCACGCAGCGAGGTACTTTAGTGACCATTTCAGGTGCCATCCAATAGTTTTGTCTAAATGATCTGTATGATTCAAGCAACAAATCATGGGGAAAATGTAAATTGTCGCTCTAAAGTTAAACATGTATTTTAATTCCTGAGATTTTTATATGTTCAAAATAACCCTTTGCTAATTTTTCCGTTAAAATACTAGACCATGTGACTTTTTCTTCAAAAGTAACCGCAAAAAATATACAATCAGAAATCTATAGTTTAGTTCATATGTGATTTAGTCCTTGGCCGATAAAAGAAATGTACACATCAATAACTTACAATTAAAATTTACTTATTTCACGGCTACCCAATAATTTGTGTAATTCTAATTCTTACGAATGTAGAAAATTCAAATTGAAAGAGAATGTTTACCTATTTGTCGTCTATCAAATTTTTAAAGGATATTTTTTTTTGTGTTTGATGGAGAATACTAGTTGATAAACAAAAAAAAAAAATAGTTTGTGTTGTGTTGACTTAGGAATATTTTTTTAGATTGTTAAGAATCTATTATCACTAGTTAAATTTGTAACATTGTTCTAGTGAGAGGATTTTTCTTGGGTTCCTTTATGTTGTGTGAGTGGTTGGTGGTAGGTTGAAAGTTCTAATTGTTGAACTTTCCTTCTTCTCCTTCTTTAAACTTCCAAGGAGCCTTAGTATTGGGTGCTGATAGCTGGTGGTTTCTACAAGCAGTTGGAACTCAGATGATTTAGTTGGTATGGAGCTTAATAAGCTCATTTCCTTATTCTTCCTCTCCTTCACTATTGGAAGCTTGAAGCCCTTCCTCGTTTCTCTTATTTGTTTTGGATACCTCGAAATAGAGATAAGGGAAGTTAGGAGTGTTTTTGGTGATTTTGGCTTAATTTTATGTTGATTGATATCATCAAATGTTGTCATTTTGAATGGATTTGGATTGAATGTTGTGTTGGATGGGTTTGGTGTAAGAGTGGAAAATTGGTGAATTGATGAATTGATCTTTTTGGTGGTTTCATGTGTGTTTGGGACTTAGAATTGGGTTGTTTGAAGTAGTTATGTACTTGTTTACATGTTGCATGTTGGAGATTTATGGATTTCAAGAGGATCAAGGCAATTTTTGAAGTTTGCATTTGTAAATTTTTAATGTCACGTCGAGTGCGTCTACTTGGCATGGGACACAATTCCAACCAAAGGTCTTTGTCCCATCCACATCTAGTGCAAGATCGGTGACGTTGAATGTGAGGAAAGAGAATCATTTCGGTTTAGGATGGTGTTGAGTGTGGTTTGAATGGTGCTAGGCGTGAGAGCATTGGAAAATCTTTGACTTGGTAGTGTTAGGCCCTAATTGGGTGGCGCCAAGCATGATCAAGGCAGAGACTCTCTGCCTAGATGATGTTGAGTGTCAATGAGGTGACATCGAGCATGAGTCAAGTATAGACTCTCTACTTAATGTGAGGTCGAATGTGGATTTTTCCACACCAAACATGAGTTTCTAGGGGTTCCTTACCTCAACTACGTCGGGCGTAAGCGAGGTAAAGAGTTTCTTGCCTCAATGACATCAAGCGTGAGGTAAGTTGCACCAAGTGTAGTTTATTGTGTTGATGCATGCTTTTTGATGAATGATTTAGTGAACATGAATAGAGTATGTGAGTCTATTGTATGTTGTATGATGTATGAGGGTGGTGAACATTAATATGCTATGTATGATTAATATGTTATAGTTGTATGGTTGGGGTGTTGAATAAGAATTGATATGCTATAATTGTGTAGTTGAAATGATGACGAACATTGATATGCTGTGTATGATTGATATGTTAAAAATTGCATGGTTAGAGTGTGAATAAGTATTGGTATGCTAGTCTATTATGAGTTGAATACCATTAGTATGCTAGTTATGAGTGGCGTGAATTACTCTCCATGTCCATTAACCCAAGGTAATGCATATAGATGATGTATGTTGATGCACTGATATTGAGAATGTTGTAGGCATTAAAGCATATTGATTGGCTTAGGACTAAAGGAGATGATGTTATTTGAAAGTTGAAGATCCTATATATATAGGAAATCTTTGTTTTGGCACTTTGGGAGATCAATTGTTGAAAACCCTCCTTAAGTAGGTATGAAGCTCTTAGAGTGAATTTTGTTAAGTCTCCTCTAAGTCCTTAGTCAATGTGGAGTAAAGTATGAAGTTGAAAGCTACCATCCTTAATTGATTACCGAAAAAGGTTGTGTGGTTCCTTGTGGATAATTAGTGAGTTAATTCCATATATGACTCGGTAATGCATGTCAAGGTCATGGTACATCTATATCCAACTATACTAGTCCTGACGGTGGAACTAGACTTTTATAATGTAAGTGGCGACACTCAAAAAATCAGAGGTAAGGATTGATATCTCATTTTAGTTGTTGTTCTAGCAAGCGCACTAGGCATGAAAGTGATCAGGTTAGTTTGGTAGGGTCAAAACCCTTAGACTACTTAGGTGTATTATGAAATCTTCGTAAGTGACTGTGTGATGATGCATTAGTAGTAGTGTGTGCATGTGATGTGGTGTGAGTTGATTATATCACATGCATTGAATGAATATCTAGTTGTATGGTATGATTGTGGTGAATGTTTGAATTGCTTGGGTGCTTAGTTTTCAAACATGTTGATTGTTGTATGTTTAAACCATGTGGCGTATTTTTGGTTGGTTTACATGTTGGAGAGTAGTATAAATGTTCTTTCCTATGTTTGTATATTTTTGTAATCTAACTTATTCTTACTTGTTTTCATATGATTTGGATTGCGACAATTATATTTGGTATGAGAGTATAGTAAGGATATGTGGTAGTGGACTGCAATGGAGCCCATCAAGTAGATGGTGGTGTTTTTGGATGTTTTCTGCTATACTTGTGTGATAGTTGTATAGTTTGTGTTTAACCAACATTTAAGTCATATATTTGACCCTTACCAGATGATTGTATTTATGTTATTTATATTTGTAAGTATTAGATTTTTCGCTTCTAGTTAGTGACCCCACGAAGTATAACAATCATAATGAATTATTATAAAATTTATGAATATTTTGATGGATGGATTGATTGAAAGAAAAATTGTGATAATTTTTTTTTTTTTTTATAAAGTACAAATATCTTTCACAGAAAATGACCCTATTTAAATAGGGTAAAATTATTATAAGTAATAAAATAAATTTCTTATATTATTCGATTTCAATGGATTAATTAGTTTTTTTTTTCAATGATAGAACTGTAGCTTTTGTGAGGAAGTACTGTGATATTAATTTTCAAAAGCTTGTGATTGAGTTTCCAACATATCGTTGTCAATTCAGAAGGATTTTTTGAAGACAATTTAGAAGGATAACATAGGCGTGAGTGTGACATTGTGTTTACGTTTGCATGATATATATATATATATCAATTACTAGAATAGCTATTTGAACTATGAGACAAGAAAGAGTCCTAAATTCAAAATTGTTCATGTAATTTAACACCAAATTTAACTAGCCAATCTGCAAAAGTGTTTTTTTCTCGAAGGATGTGTCAGAATTGCAGCTCCAAAGAAATGTCATGAACAAACGAATGAAGTTCACTAAAGAAGCATAAGGGTTATACTCAGGGTCGACGGACCCATGTAGAAGAGAGTGGGTACACTACACATACCCCACTACCATTTGACATACACATATATTTTTTTTATATAAAAAATAATATATTTTTAAAAATAAAAGTTATATTATAACAAAATATATATATATATTTAAATCATCATATGTATAAAATATAAATTCGGAGAAACTGTTTATTTATTTGATATTTGTCAAACTTTCGAATGAGATTAGTTCTCATATATGATAAAATAAAATTTGTAGCATGCATGTTTACTTTTTATACTTTCTATTTATTGTATATGTTGATAAAAAAAATAAAAATAGTAAAAATTATAAGATTGTATACGTTGATTTAAAAAAATCAAAATAGCAAAGATTGAAAGATTTATGTTTTATTTATAATTTTTATTATAAAAAATGTTTTAAAATAAATTATCATCTAAAAATTTATATCACATATTAAAAACATGTTTATATCATAAATAAACTAAACTTGATTTTATAAAATTTAACATATTTATTTTTATGTTTTTATTAATGTCAAATTATTATAAAATGGTCTTTAAGATTGTAGTTCTAACCAAACATTTAAAAAATGTTAATGACAGATAAATATGTCATATTCAGTACATGTATTTTTAAAGAAAGTTGGATTCAAACCTATTAAATTATGAGTGAATCACCTATACACTGTCAGTGTAAAATTTATACTGGCAGTCAATCAAAGTCGTTAATAGTGTCTTTTTATCTGCTCATTTAATTAAATTAAAATAAAAAAAAGGCACTATTAACAGCTCTGATTGACTGCCAATGTAAAAAACTTTACACCAACAATGTATAGGTGATTAACTCTTAAATTATAATATAACATAGTCTGGTCTAGTTTATTTTCATCCTTAATCGTAATTGTAGATATAAAGACTTGTAAAAAATAATTATAATATATTATACTTTTAAAATTTAGATGTAAAATTTTTAATATTACAAATATATGAATAAGTATTGTCTTCATTATCTAAAA